AAGTGGAAATTTATTCGTATTTAAAGAAAATTAACCTACACTTCAATATACTATAAATCTCGGACCGAAAAATATTAATTTCGGGAGACGATAATGTTATTTTGCCTACTCCTATTAGGGAATATAACCGTTCAATTTTTAATGTATAGAATTACATATATTCCTTGAAATGTTACAGAATGCACTGAAAGAAATATATGTTTGTTTTAGCAATGTATGTGGTAGTCTATATATGAAACATAAAATATATTTACCTTAACCATTTTTATATTTAGTTTTAACATATTATGTTAAAACTAAATATAATATATGTTTGTTTTAGCAATGTATGTGGTAGTCCATATATGAACCACATACATTTGCTAAAACAAACATATATTTCTTTCAGTGTGAATTCATTCTATCATCGGATGACGGAATACATACTTTCACACATATTCTGCCTATTGGCTATTTTGTTTCCTTTTTTGAGGGGAAATTGGTCGTTTACCGTATCATTTTACCTTATACGCATAGTTAGTTCATAAGTGGGGGATTTAAAATAAATAATAATATAACCATGCCATTATAAAATCTGAAATATCATCATTTTGTGTCTTTATTATTGTTAAATGCTTTTTTCATACAGTTAGGCCTCATTCAGAACCTCGTAATTAGTGGAATAAATTAGTGGTTTCAATTAACGTAAAAGTTTGTCTTATATATGTACACAGTGTTGTTCACAACCAAAAAATTAGTGGCAGTAGTTTTCAATTAGTGGAAAAAGTTTGCAAACTTCTAACTACCACTAATTATAATTGGAAAGCGGCTTTGCGCATGTGCGCATATAAAAGCAAAAAGTTTAAAGATTTGCCAGTGAAGGAAAGGTTATATAAATATTATTGTATTTTAATATAGGTAGGTAATTAATATCGTTTATGTCAGGTTAAGAAGAATGGACAATCTTTTAGCAAATTCCCTTAATTTTAGATGTTAATTTTGCGCATTGTGAATGATCGTTTTGTGTTAATTATAAGTATAATTGAAACCACTAATTTCGAGGTTTTGAATGAAGCTTATTTATTATTTATTAAAAAGAATTTATTATACTTCCCAAATAGGCACAAAAATATGGTATTTTTTTTAAACCGGCAATGACGCCACCCATGCGCCTCAATGCAATCACCCGTGTGATTCTCACTTCCCCTACTTTAACCCCACGAAAGGGAAACAGTCTCAGTTAAAAATGATTTTTATGCGTGTAAAAGTATGTAACAACTTTTAGACCGATTCAACCTCACTTTATCTTAATTAAATTATTTTAGAAACGTAAGTATAGTATAGTATAGTATAGTATAGTATAGTATAGTATAGTATAGTATAGTATAGTATAGTATAGTATAGTATAGTCTGAAACACCTTTGGAATTGCTCGTGTGACAAACTTTTCACTCGAGCGGAATATGCCGTATTCCAAACTTGTTACCGAATATACTATTATCGTCGTGTGTATTAGCAAAATTATTATTACCATCCGGGTCAATAAAGGGAAAAACCATTTTTTCTTATATTTAACATTAAAAACTTGTCAAAAACTTGTCAATGCATTGATTATCAATGATTTAAACACCGAAGCAATATGAACAACAATCAGCGTCTATATTTTCCCCGACCGTCCTCATAATAACTGACAACTTTCTTTACCTACCCTTGCGGTAAACTCTCTTAAAATTTATTAGTCAAAAATAACTAATAATTACAATAATTATTATTGTAAGTCATATTTTACTAATTGTCATAGCTTAAAATCAGTCACTAATAATTAGTCAAATTCTACTGAATGAAATAAACTGCTCGTCATAAAAATCGACGCACCTAGTTTTTTGGAAAATATTTGAAAGCTCGTTATTGAAAAATTACTGGATCGATTTTGAAAATCTTTGGAAATTCTGAATAGCTGATTCTTTGACTCTTATGTCTAATTTTGGGAATACGATATTTTGCACATAGCATTATACTACAGGGTGTTAAACGAAGAGATGTATTTTTTCCGAAATTTCAAGTTATTCCCATTCAAGAGGCAGTTGAGTTTAATAGTCGTAATACCCCTCCCTAATATTAGTAAGGTAATCCCTCGAAACGTTTTCGAGATTTTGTGAATATCGCGGCTTACTACGATATTATATGCCAATTTATCGAAAATTGTCGTTATTTCCCAGTTCAGTCCAAAAAATGAGCAATAGTGGATTCTTTGACCTACGTCTAATTTTGAGAATACGTTATTGTGCACATAGCAGTTGAGTTTAATAGTCGTAATACCCCTCCCTAATATTAGTAAGGTAATCCCTCGAAACGTTTTCGAGATTTTGTGAATATCGCGGCTTACTACGATATTATATGCCAATTTATCGAAAATTGTCGTTATTTCCCAGTTCAGTCCAAAAAATGAGCAATAGTGGATTCTTTGACCTACGTCTAATTTTGAGAATACGTTATTGTGCACATAGCATTATACTACAGGGTGTTGAAAAAAGAGATGTTTTTTTCCAAAATTCCAAATCCCCATTCACAGGGCAGTTGAGTTTGATAGTCCTAATACTCCTCCCTAATAACAGTTAGGTAATCCCTCGGGATATTTTCGAGATTTTATGGATATCTTGGCTAACCACGATTGTACGGCAATTTTTCGAAAATGCACGTTATTCTTCATTTTAGTCAAAAAAATCAGCAATAGTTGATTTTTTACTCTTATGTCTAATTTTGGGAATACAATATAGCGCACATAGCATGATACCACAGGGTGTTTAAAAAAGAGATATTTTTTTCCAAAATTCCAAATCCCCATTCACAGGGCAGTTGAGCTTGATAGTCCTAATGCCCCTCCCTAATAACAGTTAGGTAATCCCTCGGGACATTTTCGAGATTTTGTGGATATCTTGGCTAACTACGATTATATACTAATTTTTCGAAAATGTGTTAAAAAAAAAGATGTTTTTCCAAAATTCCAAATCACCATTCACAGGGCAGTTGAGCTTGATAGTCATAATATCCCTTCCTAATAACAGGTAATCCCTCGGGACATTTTCGAGTTTTGTAGATATCTTGGATAACTACGATTATATGGCAGTTTTTCGAAAATTCACGTTATTCTTCACTTAAGTCCCAAAAATGAGCAAACTACGAAAGGTATTAACACAGCGTTTTAAGGTGATTCATTAAAAGTGCAATGTTTCACACAAAACCAATTTTTTTTGGTTAAATTCATAATAAAAAACTCAAACCAAACAAAATTATTCTCGTAAATTTACGCAGGCTATATTCATGCAATTTTCTACAAACGGTTGACTATGAAAGTTTAAAAAATATGGCGCAATGCGCATATCTGGTTTTGAGTTTCCCTCCTTCAATTATTCTTGTTATTTTTGTCGTTGAATATGAAAACATTTTTCAAACAGCAAAACACATTTAAAAAAATAAAATGACGGTTGTAAGATTGCATACCACGCAAGACGAAGAGCTGCCTGCCCTCTTTTTCTGCTAGAAGAAGATGGGCACAAGAACATGCAAATTGGGGAAACGATGTGTTGATAACTAATCGATACCTTTCGTAGTTTGCTCGTTTTTGAGAATTAAGTGGAGAAAAATGACAATTTTCGAAAAATTGCTATTTAATCGTAGTTAGCCAAGATATCCACAAAATCTCGAAAACGTCCCGAGGGATTACCTAACTGGTATTAGGACTATCAAGCTCAACTGCCCTGTGAATGGGGATTTGGAATTTTGAAAAAAAACATCTCTTTTTTTAACACCCTGTAGTATCATGCTATGTGCACAATATCGTATTTCCAAAATTAGACATAAGAGTCAAAAAATCAACTATTGCTCATTTTTTGGACTAAACTGGAAAATAACGACAATTTTCGATAAATTGGCATATAATCGTAGTAAGCCGCGATATTCACAAAATCTCGAAAACGTTCCGAGGGATTACCTTACTTATATTAGGGAAACTCAACTGCCTCATGAATGGGAATAACTTGAAATTTCGGAAAAAATACATCTCTTCGTTTAACACCCTGTAGTATATGTGCAAAATATCGTATTCCCAAAATTAGACATAAGAGTCAAAGAATCAGCTATTCAGAATTTCCAAAGATTTTGAAAATCCATTCAGTAATTTTTCAATAACGAGCTTTCAAATATTTTCCAAAAAACTAGGTGCGTCGATTTTTATGACGAGCAGTTTAGTCAAATTAGTAGATTTAAATTTAAAAAAAGTTTTGACCCAGCCGGGGATTGAACTCAGGTATGTCACTTGTCAAGCTTGTCAAGCTGTTGTCATAACCTATTTGGCCATCAGCCGCTCTTATAAAAATCAATTTTATTAGTCAATAAATATTGTTCATAATATTTTAAAGTTGAATATATTATTTGTGTTGCTGTTTTGAGCTAAACTTTTTGCATCTTTATTTGTTTTTATGGGTCATTTAACCATGGAGACTAGGTATATGCATTTAATTCAAATAATACTTTGTTATTGGCCGCAAACGATTAAAGAATCTAGTTACTTTTAACTCTCAGAAATAGTCAAAGATGGTGACTAATCTGTAATTAGTCAAACTTTAACTATTTACGTAGAGTAAAGAATAACTATTTAAAAGTGAAAACGACTATTTTATTAGTAAAAAATGCTGTTACTAATTCAAATAGTAGAATTTTGACTGTTTCATTTTTAGAGAGAACTACGATTTTCAGTAGATAAAATGCAACTTTAACAGCAGCTATAGAAAAAATAATTATAACTATATAAAATGTAATAATTTCTATATATTTGGCACAGATAGTAAGATGCTATCATCAATTCTAGATGAGTTAATTAATAAAATCTAACATCTCATTATGGTGGTTTATTATCCCATTAACTTTTTTCAAAATTATTGAGCAGATGTTCATGTGTGAATAAGCACTTCAATTAAAATAAACAATTAATTGATGATAGAAGTAATCGCAGATAGCGTAGAAGATAGATGATACTGAAAGAAGGGTTGGGTGTTCACCGTTCACCGTCCACCGGGTACAAATGGCTGCCGGTCGGTGTCTTGACCGTTAATTCGTGCCGAACGTTTGCTGAACAAGCACCGGACATCGAAAAAAAAATGGTAAGCCCTCGTGTGCTCGCTACTGTCTTTGTCTTTCTATCTCTTCTTAAACATATTTTTCTTTTTTCCTTTCTCCTACATGTGGTGTACAATGTTTTGTGATCGTAATAGTGCGGCATTTTATTATCTACTCTAATCGGCTTAATAATTGTGTTTTGTTTATAAAAGTGTTTTTTTGATAATTTATTAGTTCCAAAAATTTGTGTGTTGTGAATTATTGATAAAAAATTAAATTTTTATTAAATTTGTTCAATTTCATATAATTCATCATTGATTTTTTCTAATAAATAAAGATAGGTAAATGTAATTTTGAATAAATTTTCTCTTAATTTACACTTTTACATGGTATGTTTAAAAACAAATTGAATTGTTATTTATTTATATTTTTGTAAAAAAATAATTTTTTGGAATTAAGTTCAATTAAAATATCCTAAACTTCATATTTAAAACTATTGGCAAAATTAAAAATGTCCCCTTTTGTCCTTTTCTCCAGTAACTCTTATTGTTATATTAGGTATTTGTTGTAAACTTATATTTTTAAAATTTCCATTGTGCCAATAAAAGTTAAATCTTTAATAATTATTATTAAAATTAAAGCTTTTCTCAATATATTTGGGGGCGACCATTAATTACGTGAGGCAATTTTGGCGATTTTAAGACAAAAAGGTCATATAAACATGTGTCAGCATTTATAATTATAATTTGTTTTTCGTTAATATCTTAAATATCCTTTACACAATTTTGTTGTTATTTGGCAGTGTTATTTCTAGTGTTAAGTAGATAATCTAACTCTAAAAAAAATTAAATTAAGAAACCAATAATACATCTTTTTTGTTTCCCAAATTTTTCTTCATATCTTGCTTAGTTTTCGAGAAAAAAAATATTATCTACTTAATTGAATATCCCTAGACCACACAAGATATGCAATTAAAATCATGCAGTGTAATATAATAAAACACACAATGTAAAGTAAGCTTTATTTTTTTCAATAACCATGGTTGCATGAAATTGCAAGAAAAATTCCAACCAAAATTTAGAAAGCAAAAAGTTGTAGTTTTAGTTGCGTAATCCGAAAAAATACAAAAATTATAAAAAACTCAGAGTCACACATTTTTATGTTAAAAAAATTCGATAAGGTGCCGCAAGGTACGCCACTGCACTTATTAGCTTAATTGAGTCGTCTAATTTTAAAAGCGGCCACCTTCTTTAAACAATATTTCAAGTAAACGGCAAAAAAACATTTTAAACAGTAATAGGTATATATTTTGAAAAACTTGTGGTAAATGAAAATATTTTTTCTGCAAAATAAGTAACCAGATTTAAGTTATTATTAAAAAAAACATATCTAAGGAAGATTGGCATTTTAAGTACATTTTTGTACTTAAAACATCAATGGAGGTGACCGGTATTGAAACTAACATAAAAATTTAATAAATTATTTTCCTTGGTAAATGCCGTTTTTGTTCAGATATAATTTTGCACTAATAACTCATGTTTAAAAAATTTTGGAGATGCCCCTTTTGAAACTAGACGACTCAATTATCCCCTTATCACTAAAAATCACACTGCCAAATTGCAACAGAATTGGGTAAAGGATATTTAGGATATTTACGAAAAACCAATTTAAAAATAGTATATTATATATCAAGTTTGATAAACGCCATTTTAGTCACGAATTAAATGTAGGTACGAGCGATCTTGGGAGCGAGTGGTTAATTAAATGAGTGCCTAGAAAAGTTTATAAACGAGTTGGATACAATACTTTGTCTACGAAAAATACTTAATATTATCTAAAAAATATAAATATATATATACATATAAATTAAATACATAATTAACATTACGATTAGGTATTGCCCGTTATTATTTTTATTAAACTTAACAATTATTAATACATAAAAATCGTTCAAAATATAAATATAATTGCAAAATATTATCACAAAGGTACAAAAAGTGACAGTTGTATTTATTGGAGTCCCCGTTATAATTTCTGATTACAGGCATTAAAATCTCAAATTTTTCTGCATAAATCAAAATTTATCCCTTAAATAGACTAACAATCGATATAGAAGCAGTTTTTTACAGTTAAAAAAAGATGTAACACTCTATATAGTTAACAGCACTACTGCAGTACAAACGTTCATTTAATCTTTTCAAACATTAGCGTCTAAACTATTTAATACAGTTTTATTTTTCTATTGAGATAATAAAATAATTTTCACATGTATACATGTATACAAAACTATAGTTTTACTTTAAGAGAGGCACTTTATTTTAATGATTGTATGACATTTGACAACTCTCAACTAACTTAAAACTAACTTCAGCCCATGACTAAAAAACTGTGACTTAAGCGTCATAAATCCAGAACTTGTGTATTTAAAAGGTCACTTAATGTCATGGAAACATGTACTATAATGGGCGTTTAAAAGGTAAGAGAATAAAAATACTTAATTAACACCCTGTATTATATTAAAAAACTATACTCTGATTTGTCGCATATTTGATATCTACTATATACTTCCATATATATTTTCATCAACCAAAGATATTTTAATTACAAAATAATTTCTTCAATTAAATATTTAACGGTCAGAAAAAAAAAACAAGATTAACTTTAATTGTCTCGGACGGTGGTCTTCTGCTTTTCCTTTATATACATTTTTTAACTAGATAGTAATTTTAAAATTCTACAGCATTGCAATGATTACGTAAGTAAAAGTAAAGTAAATATCCTTAAAAAATAATTATTAAGAGCATTGACGACAAAAGAAAGTAATAAATAAAGTGTAGGCTTACATTTGTAACGTGATAGGATACCCACCCAATCCAATTTAAATAACAAAATATGTATTGGTATTATTTAAATTTTTTTCTTACTTTCTTTTTTAATTCGTTTCTTAAAAATTTTGGTTCTAAATTGGAAGCAAAGTCACGGTTTATAGATTTTAATAGGTCTTTTCATATTAAAATTGGTAAAACGGATATATCGAATTAAAGAAAATGTATCTAATTAAAATTAGAGCAACTTGTATGAAAAGTTGGTAAGACATAATGTCTTGGCCAGATATTGTAAAATTATGTAGAAAATAATTTAAATTCTATTCAAAATAATATTTTTGTAAATTTTTAAACATAGCTTTGTTACAAAACTTTTTTAATATTTTTTCATTATTTATATCTTATATGCAATTATTTCATATTTAAAAAAAATCATTTTACATAATTCATCCATAAGTAATATTACTTATTATTTGTATTCGAACTCGCGCGGGTACATTTGCGCTATCGCGAGTGTATTTGCGCTATCGCGCGTGTTTTTTATTATAATACTTTCTCTATGACTTAAAAAAATATAAAAATAGCAACATTCTTATAAATATTAAAATCTTAAAATTTAATTTGTAAATTAATTTAAAGTTCCTATAATTTAGGTTAATAATTTAAAAAATTCAAAACATTCCTTGTTTAAATATTTTTCTAAGAACAATACAATTAGGTATATTTTTTGCAAGACATTCTTTGCTTTTACAGAGCAGGAACTAAAATCTATTACTTAGTATTTTAGCTTGCTATTATCTACACTTAAAAGTTATTATTATTATCATTAGGTACAAAAATGTATTATACATACTCATTTACAGACTTACAATTGTTTAAAAAATGGGCTGTCTACTTTCTACAACAAAACTTGTTTTATATTTCGAACAATAAAACCTCTTTCACGAATTCGTACCTATTTGAGCACAAAAAGGTGTTTTAAAAAATATTTCATTAGTATTCAACTATAGTAATTTAAGTTAAAAGGTCGGGGATTAACAGTACATGCGCCGTAACAACCAGCCTGGACCATAATAAACTTACATTTTATTTTATAAAATTAAATTTACAAAATATAATAAATTTATTTATGAAAGCAAATGTCAAAACAACAAAGTAAATCATGTAATGTAATTTAATTATAATGTTTTTATACTCCTATTGTTATTAACAATATTTGTTTTTTCCGTAAATAATGGTAATCAATATAATCGCCCTGCCTAACAACGGGAATAATGAACTCATTAATCGTTGTTAGACATCAGTGATAAGCTGATTTCAATATTCACTGTTATTCGAACAAATCTGGTTTAAATTGGGAAAAAGTAAGGTTAACAGATCAGATTTTTTTATACAAGGGGCGACGATCTTTGAAATCAAGAAAAAGTGAGGTTATAATAAATTTTGTTATGAAAATTTCTTAACTGAAATAAAAAAGCATAGTATTACACTCGAAATAATGCGCATTATTTACTTGGATGATTTACGTCTCTGACCTGACGGCTCAAGACGCGAACCTCGTCCTTGTGAATAATATCCTTCTCTCATGTAATAATATACTATTATTAAATTTATTAAAGCGAATACAAGGTTTGTTCAAAAAGTATAGTCTACATCAATTTTATCTTCTTAAAAACAACCTTTATCAACTTCTATTGGGATTTTTCAGTGAATATTGGTAAACAATAGTCAATAGTCAGTGTGATTTAAACCAATCGGGTTTCAAATTGGGAGAAGGCGACTATAATAACATTTACAATTGGTAAAAAGTAAGGTTCGGACATTTTTATTAAAAGAAAAACAAAAAAATTAAGTAAATCGGACTAATGCAAGCTGAGAAAAACAAAAATGCCCGTTACTTTTTGGAAAAATATATATTTAATCATGCAATAATTTTCATATAATAACACTGGAAATAGAGCTAAAAGGTCATGTCAGTTGAACCTAACCTAAAATGATGTGACAGTATCCTAAGAAATTATTTAATTAAATGTTAAAAAAATAGTATTTAAAACTAGCATGCGAAAGCTTATTAATTGCCTCGCACACAATCTATAAATAGATGTATACAGTAATCTTGGTCGATAATATGTACTTTCTCGGCCTGGTCAACAATGTAGGTACTAATATTTTATAAAAACAAAATTTTATTGTAAACTGAAACTTGACCAACACTGAAGGTTGATCGATACAATTTAATGTATATATTTTAAACCAGATTGGCAAAAGTAAATCCAAACATTGACAGTTACAATAAAGAAACTATTATGTCTTATAATAAAATATGAGACACTTTCTACTAAGAATTATTTCACTATATATACGGTTGTATTTTGTTAACTAATGCAGGTGATTATAATTTTGCATCTTGGGTGAAAGTAAAAGATATTTAGGTACCGAATAGGAAGCCAGTAAATTAATTTTCTACCCATTCTATTATGTACAGTTATAGTTTATTTATCTAGTTTTACTGGTTTTACAATCCTTATACCTAGATTACATCTTCGCCAATTTACACTTTTTATTAGGTCTGCACATTTACATTCACATTTTCATTTTTTTTTATTATTCAGGGAGTGTTAATTTGCTAATTGCATTACACATTTTATAATTAAGATACATTATAATAAATGTTTATTAATTCAAAACTTAATTACTAAGAGAATGTTCTTAATTAACTTTGTTAATTACATATACATTAAACAGTGTAAACATAAATGTAAAAAATAAATTAAATTTAAAAAATTGTGTAATGTTAATTATAAACATAATTCAATTTAATTTATAACCTTTTATAATTTATGTTCTATCATAATTTTTCGATTCCAATTTCACTAGAATATTCAAATCAATTACTCTTATTTATTAGGTATTTGTGGTTAATAATAAGTTTAATACATACTTTCCTTGCAATGCTTTTACTTTAACTTATTTTGTTTATTTAATTTTCCCTTTTCACTTGCTCACATTAATAGAAAATCAATGATTAACATGTTTTATTTTTTGTTTTAGAAACACACCCACTTACTTAGTTTTTTGCTATTCCTTTGTGCAACCACAACTCATTCAACGAAAATAAGCCTGGAAGACATAGAAATCGATAATTTAAAATCAGAAAAAAAAGCCCGTACTCCAATAACTGCCGCTTCATCTCCAACACAATATGGATTCGTACCAACCAAAACTTTACAGAATTATATTCAAAAATCCCCAAAACCACAATACGTACAGCCCACTTATGCTGCACCAACTTATCAAAATTACCAAAACACACCAAAAATACCATTGATTGGACCTCAACAGTACTACTTGCCTAAACAGTACCCAACTGGACAAGATCAACCTCAACAGTACTACGGCACCCCACAACAATATCAACAATATGAGAACGTTCAATTTGTAACTGATAACAGTATTCAACATCAAAGCCACCCTCAACAGTACGTTTACTTGCAACAGTACCCAGCTTCAAGTACTTCCATTCAAACCATTGTGGATCCTAAATCAGGCCAGCTCCAATACGTAATGTACGTACCCTCATTGGCTGCTCCGACACAACAAGAACAAACACAAGAAGTTGTGTATCAACAACAACCTGAGTATTCTCAAGAAACTACTCAAGAGCAGTATGCTCCACAATACGTAGAAGAGAAACCATTCCTGCCTGCCTCACAGGCGCCTTTGCATTACGAAGGCAGCAGAACGCAGTACATCCAACCTAGGCAACCCAAAAGTCTTTTGGACTCATACGTACCTTCTTACCTACAGATTCAATATTACAAGCAACAGCAACAACATTTGGCTAACTCTGTAGCTCATTCTCAAAAACTTAACTATCCTATTGTAGGTAAAACGGAGTATGTTAAGAGTTACAAGCCAGGTAATACTTTTAAAAGAAGAGCATAATTTCTTTTTTTATTGTAAAAGCCTACGAGTATTATGGTATGCTTCAGCCAGTTATTGTTTATTTGTTTGAGTTATTTATTTTATATATTTAGTAATAAACATTTTATTTTATTAAAGATAATTGTTTTAATTTAATTTTCATTTCAGATAAATTTTAATGAAACTACACGAAATAAAGATGTTACCTACTTTAAGGCCTCGGCAGCAAACGCTAAGCTCGACTTTAAATAAGCGCTTTCTCCAACATATGTTATATATTTATAAATATATTATACATTATTATATAATATAATATAATAATTCAATATAATATACCTATAGGTACACTGTGCGTCAAAATTAACGCATAATAAGTAAAGAAATTCTAAACCCTATAGGGTTATTAGAGTTTATAAACTCTAAAACACCTATGAAATTTTGAATAAAAATCCTTTAACTTATATCTCAGTTTACGTTCTCAATGGGTTTTCGAGAAAATATTTGTAAAGCCCTTTTATTTTAAAAACGTTTAAAAAATAACTTTTATGGATTTTTTTTAAGTAAATAAAAATATGCTGCTAAAGGCCGTATTTTTTTAGTAACGAAGATAAAACGCTTCAAAGTCGGTAAAAATTACCCCTTTTTGATTATTTTTCTGAAAATTGGTCATTTTTGACGACTTTGAAGCGCTGTATTTTCAGGGTATACTAACAAAAATACGGTCTTTCACATCATATTTTTTATTTACTAAAAAGTTTTTTTCCAGCATTTTTTATTTTTAAATAAAAAGCTTTAAGGATATTTCCTCGAATTACTTATTTAAAAAACAACACAATTTTCGAACTGATTTTATAGTCATTTTTTATTTTAATACAAAAGGCACTATATACATATAGATATTGTAACATGAAATAAAAAACGTAAAAAATAGGATTTAAACGCGAAAACGCTTTTCGCTTTTGAAAAGTTGTAAAAACTAGTTATTATGTTCTGTAAACCGAAGAAAAAAATATTTTAAAAATTAGGGGAATCAAAAATTAAGCAGCAGTAGTTGAATGCAGCGAAAGTCTCGAGAAGAAAAACAGAAAACAATGTTAAGAAAACCATATATGGTTTTATAAAAGGTAGGATTGTCTAAATATTTAAAAAATATATATAATAAATAACAATTTAAGTAGCAGCATTTAATCCAGGTCCCATAACTTTACGTTAAGTTTACAACCAACTGTAATATTTTTAGCCAATTGAATAAGTAGCTACGAAGGCGTAGAAGGGCCAACAACAATATTTTTTCGACAATTGTATATATACAGGGTGTTTTTCATTCGTGGTCCATTAGAAGTTTCTGGGAAACGAAAAAGATATTGATTTGAAATTTGAAGTGAATATTTTTTAAATTATTTTTTTTCGTTAAAATTTAAGAAATGCTCGTCAATCAAAAATAGCCTATAACTTTTTTGTTATGAGGTTTGCAAATATAGGGTTGGAATTTTTGGAATCTTAAAAAAATTAGGCCAAATTGAAGGTTAATAACTTTTTTTATTTCAAATGTAACACTTTGTATGTTTTTACATATTCAAATAGTAAATTAAAAAACCTTTCGATTGATGTTACTATTCCCTATACCTAAAGTTAATAATTTCAGAGATATTTAACAATTTCTAAAATTTTACATATTATTTTGTATCACGAAACCTGTGACGGGTGAGTTGACGGTTTCTATCAGAGACTGGTTTCTATGGTTACCACGTAATTTGTAAAATTTAATCGTGTCAATTTTTCAGGTTGTTATAAACAATTTGTTAACTAATTAAGCGTTTAAAAATTAAAAATTCGAAAAATTTTAAAATAATATTAATAATATTTAAGTTGATCTGGTTTAACCGGAAGTGGCATTTTGTTCAAATTATTATAGAAAAATAGGATTATAAACGCATTTAAAATTTCAAATCGATATCTTTTTTCGTTTCCCAAAAACTTCTAATGGGCCACGAATATGAAACACCCTGTATATATACAATTGTCGATCGGATCGACAATTGTCGATTCGATCGACAATTGTCGATCCGATCGACAATTGTCGATTAAAAATTTTATTAAAAAAAAAATATTGTTGTTAGCCCTTCTATGCCTTCGTAAGGAGGTACTTTGTAATTATAACAGACATTTTGTAGATTTCATAACAAAATTTTACGTCAATAATTCAATCATAATTCTTAAAGTTTTTAAACAGACCTTATTCTTACAAACTTTTTTGTATACACAGTGACAAAAGTATTTGTTGGAAATTGAAATAAATGAAAACAATTTTTATAAGAAATGTTGCTTTATTAATCAATTTCCTAAACAAAAAAATAACACATACATACATGAACACACAAATAACATAGACAGAATTAAATATCACACCATTCCGAAATCATCGAACACTGCAGTTGTTTTAGGAACACGGTACAAATCAGATTAAAGTAGGCAAAACAATATGTAGCAGACGCCGAAGTCAGTTCAACTTGTTGATGCGTATTTTTTTGCAAAGCTGGATGTATGACGATAAAAATGTTAGTGGGATTAGTTTTAATTGGCAGCCCGAAATCACGTGTACTTTTTTAACGAAATAATTTGTTAAACATTAACAAAATATTCTGTAACCACTGGTTACTGGTTACTAACCAGTCAAGTTCGAACTCTTGACGAGGTAGGACATAGTAGCCGAGACCTCGCTTAAAACCAAAATTTTACATACCACAATAAACAACTCCCACAGTGCAAATAATCTATAATGCATTGTATCTACAGTGAATTAAAGGCTACCTTACTGTCACGGAACTTCCGTGACGGAAGTAATAGAGTATGAAGTGATAAGTGACAGCATACCTGGTGGACGAACCACCTGGCAATAGGAAGCATTCTATGTGAAGAACAAACGAGGCTAACCATGAGTGGAAACATTTGATAAGCACTCTTAACTGACTGCATAACCTAATACGTAAATATAGTCGTTTTTTCGCGTAAATACTATGTAATACTACGGTTAAATAAGTCATGACGTCACAGTTAATTCGTATAACCATGGTTAGGTTTCTAACATTTGACATTTGTTTACTTGTTCATAACCTATAATTTTTGAAATGTGTTTTTACCTATTTATATTTAATTTCTATGCTTTTACCGGTGTAAATAAATTTCTTTGCCTCTTCTTATACCTAGTATATTCTTTTTCTATACTAGTTTTTTCAATACACGTTATCCAATTCTCCTATATGTTTAATACAAAATAAGGAAGAATATAAAACAAACCTGCATATAATTCCTCCACTTCTTGTGGAGATTCCACAATATGGAGCACCCTATTATTTATTTTTACTGACAACACCCCGTTTACCATTTTAATACAAAGTTTAAATTGACCATATGCTAGGATGTAAATCAGGTCTACCATTTGTAGATAAATTAAATAAATTTGGTTACAATAAAAATTATTTTTAAATTTTCCGCCATATAATTGTCATTTATTCACTTTAATATATAAGTAACTTTAATAAACTAAAATCTACTCAAATATTAAAGTGAATAAATTACAGTTATTTGCGAAAAACTTAAAAAATAATTATTTTGGAACCAAATTTATTTAATTTATCTACAAATGGTAGACCTGATTTACATCCTTGCATATGGTCAATTCGGTTTAAGAGCAATTGTACCTACTTAAAATATTTTAAATTTCAAATGTAAACAACTTTTTGACAGATCGAAACAGAGAAAAATATATATTAAAAAGAGAAAGACTATTAACCACGTTGAATAACTAGCTCAGCGATATAGTTTTATGGTCTGGTATTTGTGACGTCATAGTTAGGATTTTTGAACGCACTCTAAACGCAAAAATGCCTTAACTATTAATCAAGGTTAAGTTTATTAACCATAGTATTTCATGGTATTTACGCGAAAAAACGACTTATGCAACAATAACAACTTTTAGATACCTACACAACCCTAAGAGGAGTTCCTTCCGCTTAACCCAACACTAGTAAAAAAAAACAATGTAAAACAAAGAGCAACAGCAACATTAATAATAAGACAATAGTTACCAAACAATACAAAAAAACAATAAATCCAACCGTACAAAATCTTATCGCTGATATTTACGGGATTATAGCTGAGCAGGACAAATAAAATAATCAACAAGTAAGTCACTTAATCCATAAACTAAAAAGACCTTTTTCAATAAAGAAAAGTGTATAAACTAACCAAGACATAACAACCTAGGAATATAGGAACCAAGGAAATTATAGACACGTCGAAAATGCAATAATCGAACTCAGCAGTCGTTACGAAAACATTAAAGACAAAGGCGGATAAACGAATGCTTACCTAAACGACAGCTTAAAGAACTGTATACTGCGCTTAAACTACCAGGGCAAAAACGGCTATTGGGTAGGAGTGGAAACAGCACTAGCAGCCTCAGACGTCTTCAATGTAGCAAATGAAACCACAAATAGGGGGAAGACAGGGTGACCCGTAGCTCACGACAAGGAAGATAAGTCCCTACAGCTAACTAACAACTCCCCAACCCGATAAAAAAAGATTGTATATAATTGTATAAAATTATATATAATTATATAAAAAAAATGGCCCGATATAATTGGATAGAATTCAATACAATTATATAGAAGTATATATAATTATATAAGAAAACCGACCCGATATAATTATATAGAATTCTATACAATTATATATAAATATATATAATAGGGTGTGCCAAAAAAAGTCGATATTTTTTCCTCCATCGAATCTGAAGTTTTGCCGCTTAAATAACACAGAAAAAAACCTTATTTATTCTTGCAACCTAGGAAGAAATTTTTTGATCATAAAATCCATGACCAAATCTTACAAAGCATTAAATTTGGACGAAAAAATCTTATTAAGCCGAATTTCTATTTTCATTATTTGATTTTTTACAGAGCTTTAAATTTAAAATTTTACGTTTTTTGCCTTTTTTAGCTAAACTATTGAAGTTAGACGAAAAAGTCAAATGGCAATTTTTTAGCTTGTCTGATGGACCACAAAAAAGTTTAAGGCGAATTTTTTATATTATCAATATTCTAAAAGTTACAGACGTATAAATTCATCATTTTTGTATTATTAACTTTAAATTTAAAGCTCTGTAAAAAATCAAATAATGAAAATAGAAATTCGGCTTAATAAGATTTTTTTGTCCAAATTTAATGCTTTGTAAGAATTAGTCATGGACTTTATGAAAAAAAAAATCTTCCTAGGTTGCAAGAATAAATAAGGTAAAAAAGTCAGTTTTCTGTGTTATTTAAGCGGCAAAACTTCAGATTCGATGGAGGACCTCTTAAAATTGAAATTATGAGCTCCGCTTTTAACAGAATATTTGTTCGGACATATTCTACGATATTTTGGGTGGAGAGCAAGCAAAAAAAAATATCGACTTTTTTTGGCACACCCTAATATATAATCATATATTATTATATTCCTGCAAAAAGTCACCAACTGAAATTTTGTAAAAATTTTAAAGTTTATTCACACAACTATGTTTTTTAAGATTTTCACAACATGACAGTTAGTGACTTTATGCAGGAATATAAAAATATAATGTCATCAAAACCTGCTCACCTTTATTATTGGAGCTACAAAGTCGGTTAAATTAGAAAATTAGTGGTATTTTTACAGAAAAACAATTGAACGTCGGGTTTCCGAAGTTATTACAAAAATAACGTTTTTTTAATGGGACACACTGTATATTTTTACATATTTTGAAAGACAACTTAATATGAAACAAAAAATTATTATAGCATTACTACCCTAAACTTAAAAATATACAATTAATAAGCACTAATGGTTGTTGAAATATCCAAATTATAACAATCAGTCAAGCAAATTAGTTTTATTTAAGCTTTAACTTGAAGAGAACACTATAATATAACAAACACACTTTATGAAGAATACGATATCTAGATTCACGCCACAGAAAAAGAGTTTCTTCTAACAAAAGGCGACAAAGAACACCAAAACACGCCATCTTAGCTTTCTCTCAAAAACTCCAGTGTTACCACCATAACGTATGGCGGCAAATTAACACAAACTATTAAATGAGTACAGATTGCGTTTGTAATTAAATTTTTAAGGTTAACTGATGCTTACTACCCTATTTATTGTTTAGAGACCTCTAAATATGTTAATACCTTACAAACAATCGTTGCTTAAGGTGTTTGAACAATTATTAATTACCAGCCGTGAGTTCTGCGCATGCGTATTAAGTTGGCTGCTATCCAGTTGTATTTTGTGGTCATATAACAAATACACAAAATGTAATCTTGTTTTTCTACTCCCACTTCCACTCCCAGTATCGTTGAACGATACGATAATCGTTCATGTTTCCAAAATATTTTAAATACACATTGACAAGCTGTTACTTTATGGCGTTTTAGTCAAGGGCTGAAATTTTAATTAAAATTCTACTTGCGAATCTTCACCAAAAATAAATCGATTTATAAGAATCATTATCACTTACCCACATAATATTAAATACTCCTTACTTTTTTTGTAATCAAAATCCTTAACCAATTGAAAATAATTTTTTTAATGACGTTATTATCCAGGTATCTGGATAATTTTCTTAAATTATATATAATTATACAGAATTGTATATAATTATAAACAATTTTATATACCTTAAGGTCAATTGAAAAAAACTTATATATATTTATATAAAATTGTATAGAATACAATTTTACATACCTTAAAAGAGACTTATATATAATTATATATAATTGTATATAATCATATAAAATTATAAACAATTTAAAATACCTTAAAAGAGACCTATATATAATTTTATAGAATTGAATATAATTATATAAAATTATAAACAATTTAAAATACCTTAAAAGAGACCTATATATAATTTTGTAGAATTGTATATAATTATATAGAATTGTATATGATACTATATAATTATATAGACACTTAAATAGGGTCTAATATATAATTATATATAATTGGAAATTATTATATATAATTGTGTATAATTATATAAAAGTATATAAAATTTCATAGAGAGTTATATATAATTGTATATAATTATATAAATTCCATATTTTTAAAAAAATATTTTATATAGAATTATGTATAATTGTATATCATTATATATAAACTTTATATAATTATATATTAATTATATATAACTCTATATACATTTTATATAATGATATACAACTATATAAAATCTTTTTTTATTGGGAACTTTAAATAGTAATCCCAAATGTTTGGAGTAATACTAATTTCCCGGTCTAGGGGGATTCCGCGTCGTACACAGATTTGAGTCGGCGTAATTGTCCCCTAAAAACCAAAATGTCTGTCCCCCGTCCCCACCTTCTTTCTGTTTTTACTGGGCGTATAACAACGGCCCGGCGAAACCGGAAGAGGCTATTTAAACTATTCGCCTGTCGCTCTCGATCCCCAATTATGGTACAGTCCCAAAGGCGGTGGACATTCGCACCCAGCAAACACGGGTAAATCCGTGCAGTTGCTGGTGGCGGAAACAAATTGGCAAACCCCAGTAGCACAAAATTTTGGTCCCATATGGGGCGCTTTAATCTTTTATCTGGGGCCAATATTGGATTTATTTAGCCGATGGTAGCCCTATATTAGCATAAAATGATAATTTAATATATCTTGCCAATGTTTATCCAAGGTTGGTCCTATATTGGCATATTATTTTACGCTAATATATCATTAACTACAGTCAACGATGCTTTTAGATTTCTAAAAGTAATATGTAACGACACGTTTGTTTCCAGGATATGTCTATACTAGTGGCGCAGGATGAGGCAATGGGTCCAGTTATACGACTTCTATACTCATACTCATAATAATCTGTAACCTTTGAAATTAACAAAATGCTTACAAAATTGCCTGTTACCTTTACAAAACTTTTGGTTAAATATTTTTCTTTGTTAAAATAATTAGAAACCCTGGTTTTAACCAAAAAATTATGTTAAAATTTTACAAAATAGCAAACTACAAACTAATGTTAACAATTCTGATTTTTATAACATTGTGGTAGATACCAAATAAATCAAACCTAGATATTCCAGTAATCCAGTGTTGTATTCTAGATGAAAATGACATATTGATAATTTTGGTTGGACACTACATTGGTTGGTCAACATTGTTAACATTATCGTTTAATGCAAAACTGTGCGGTGAAACTTTTATGGCACTATAAACTTTAGTCAACATTCACAACAAAGTTTAGCAATAATAAACGATAACATCCGTATAGTCTCAGAAACTTTAATGATTTTTTACTCGGAAACCAGAATGTTTTCAAGATTTTCTCATAGCGCCTAATATCGTGCCCAAACCCCCTTTTAAGTACTTAAGTACTTAAAAGTAAAAGTAAATTTTAGTAATTTTTTTTATACAAAAATTTTACTTTTAACTTTTAACATTTTAATTTGGGGTCTAAAGAAATAAATGTAAAGTTTACAATACTATTGTTAATTTTAATGATAAAAAATAAGTGAATTATACAATATTTATTGAGTAAATTATTAGTATTTATTATCATGTTAAAATTAATATTTATAAATAACATTAAAAAAATCCCTTATAATAAATTCAAAATGCAAGTTTTTGATTAAGATACTTATAATATTTGTATATGTAGGTATTCGGAAAATACATGAAGCTACAACGAAATACTAAAGATTCTTTTATAAATTTAGTTAATAAGACAGAATAATTACTATTATTACATTTTATTTATTTAAAATAATTTATTTAAATTGATATACAAAATTGGTGTATGAATGTGATTCAATATGCTTTTTGATTTCTGGATTGGAAAGAACTTCTTTTTGTATTTTTTTTAATCCAGGATGGTTTTCAATCATACTTCCACCTGTAAATTTTTCAAAATTCTTTAGAAGACAGCTAATTACAACATCTGCCCACGTGAGCTAAAACATATAAAAATAAAAAAGTACAATATTTGTTAATGCAATTATAAACAAAACGTAAGCATAGCTCTATTCATTTAACAGACGGGTTAAATAAATAAAACTATCACGACATATTAATAAATATATTTATAAATAAATGTAATGCATATTTTTTGAGACTAATATTTTATTTATTTAAAAAAAATAAAAATGTAAATTATAGTAAACTATACAGTATACTATAGGGTAATATAAACCCAACTAACAATTTAAGTTTTTTAATTGCTGTAAGAACGTTTACAGAAGTTACAGAAGTGGCGGCTGGTGGATTTTATGTATACGAATACCTATTTAAATTGAAGTTTGCGAAAAAAAGTTAGTTTTTCCTGTTGCCTCACCCGCCTCCAGGCTCCCCTATTTGAGATAATTCAAAATAAAGTGGTGCAATTTATTATCTACTATAATTTATCAAAAAATTAAAAATTTTATTTAAAAAATCCAAAAATTACAGATTTTATTCAATTTTAAATTTTTATTATTTATTTTATTAAAATAAAAAAATATTTAAAATGGTATTAATACTATTAATTTAATAGTGCTTTATATTAAAATATATTAATTTGAATTCCGCGATCAAGTGGGACCAACATCAACAATTTTATTTAAAAAGTTTTACTATTCGTTAACAATTTATTTCATATACCTAGTTACATTTTCGTGCTATTAAATAGGCTATCAGCTTATCATAATATTAACACACGTAGCAATGGACTATTTTCAATACCAATTCATAAAACAAGCAAGTTTTAAAACAGTTTTGAAATTTTAGCACCTAAGACTTATAATAGGTACTTTAATATCTATTCCACTTGTGATAATGTAGTCAATTTTAAAAAACAACTTAAAACTGTACTACTTGAGCAACAATGTACCTGATTTTGTTTTATTTTTATTGTATACCATGTTTGAACAATTATTATTATCAGCTAATTCTATGGTTTAGGTGGAAGAACAACTTTTGTTGAACCTAGACCCTTTGTGAATGTAAATGTATTCAAGCGTTGTGTATATTTTTTTTTGCAATAAAGTTTATTATTATTATTATTATATAATAAACAAAATGCACAGCCTACTATACCATATATATATAAAATCTAAATCACAAGGTTTTGGACTGAATCAACCAAATAATGTCATCCATTAGGTCTGGTTTCGAAAAATTTTAACCAAAGTTGAATATAAAAAATAGTTTTAACATCAATACTGCTGTGCTAAGCTACGTGCTACTGCTATTTTTCTCAAAAATGAGTTTATATGATCTAGGTATAAAATAAAAGTAGAAATATAAAATTTTAGCCAAAAACTCATTCAAAAAATTATTTTGATAATTTAAAGTGGTTATTTTCATCTTAAAACTTAAACGTTACTACAAAACCGTACTCTTTTCTTTAGCCAAAAACTGATTCAAAAAATTATTTTGATAATTTAAAGTGGTTATTTTCATCTTAAAACTTAAACGTTACTACAAAACCGTACTCTTTTCTTTAGCCATATCGTCGTAAGTACATTCATCCCAATAGATACGTCAAAATTCCATAAGTAATTGTGAATACGGTCCATATAAGTATTGTTGTAGTTTGCGATGTACAAAACGTATATTGGGATATTCCATAAAAATGCTGACATGAGGAAAATCACAAATAAATGTATACATTTATTTGTGATTTTCCTCATGTCAGCATTTTTATGGAATATCCCAATATACGTTTTGTACATCGCAAACTACAACAATACTTATATGGACCGTATTCACAATTACTTATGGAATTTTGACGTATCTATTGGGATGAATGTACTTACGACGATATGGCTAAAGAAAAGAGTACGGTTTTGTAGTAACGTTTAAGTTTTAAGATGAAAATAACCACTTTAAATTATCAAAATAATTTTTTGAATCAGTTTTTGGCTAAAGAAAAGAGTACGGTTTTGTAGTAACGTTTAAGTTTTAAGATGAAAATAACCACTTTAAATTATCAAAATAATTTTTTGAATGAGTTTTTGGCTAAAATTTTATATTTCTACTTTTATTTTATACCTAGATCATATAAACTCATTTTTGAGAAAAATAGCAGTAGCACGTAGCTTAGCACAGCAGTATTGATGTTAAAACTATTTTTTATATTCAACTTTGGTTAAAATTTTTCGAAACCAGACCTAATGGATGACATTATTTGGTTGATTCAGTCAAAAACCTTGTGATTTAGATTTTTGACTGTACTTTATTTATAAAAATACATACATTACAAAAAAAATAAAATGTTAAAAATACTTACGTGTCCACCAACAAGATAACCCTTATTAGTTTTGGTTCTTTCTTCAAATTTGTTTAGGTAAAAAGGAATAAGCTCTTCATTAACTGTCTTCTTTAATTCTTCTTTACGAGCTTCATCAGTTTCTTTGACCATTTGGATTAATTCTAAAAAAAATTATACAAATACGATAAAAAATATTTTAAGCCAACACTTACTTCCTGTAAAGTCACTGAAGCAATCTACCATGAAATCGATTTCCAAATCTTCCCAAGCATCTTTTCCACCTAGACCAACCAGTTTACCAACATATCTGCAAATTGCCATGCTTTGAGATACCACTTTCCCATTATGTTCTAAAAGGGGCAGCTGTCCAAATGGTGTTTCTATAAAAAATAATAATATTTAATTACTAATATTATAAAAACAATAATGTTTGTGTTTTTATTGGTTCTGATAAAAAAATATTTTTAAAGTATTAGTTCTTTAAGATGCATTTATTCTAAACATAAATATTTATAATTTAATATTTTATTAAATGATGTTAAAAATAACAAATTGAAAAACTTATTCAAATTTGTTAAATAATGTTATTATATTTTCTTAAATGAATAAAACCATAAAGTAGGAATACTTATTCTTGTATCGTACTTAAATTGTTTATGTCAATAAATTCTTAACTTTATTATGGCAATAGAATAACACTTAAAAGCTGAATTAGCGTTTCAGTGTATGCCGCCTAAATATTAAAACTAAATTTGTCGCTATTGTTTTTACTACCATACCAATGATATCTATCATTTGGAGACCTCTTAGACATAACATATATTATATGTGAGTTTTTAAATTCATTAATTAAGACGTCGTATCAGCGTAACTTGTGTTTTATTTCAATTAAATGCCCAATACTTTTTCTAATATTTCATCAGGTTATGGGCCCAGGCACACATACATATAGTAAATTCAAAACGAAACTACGTACGTAAGTGAAAGTGGTAGTGCAACTACAGGGCGATAGATGTCGTTTACATGAATAATACCATAGGGTCCCTAGAATTGGGACCTTAGAATACCAAAATGTCAAAAGTCAGATTTTTATAACCTATATGATGCACCGCCAAAAGTATGTTTTTAGTCATTTTAAAAGACATTTTCAGCTATAAAACCCAGAGACATGACAACATTGCAATTGCTGCCCACTTTATTTGGTTAAAATGCATTAAAATATTCAATTACAGACTTCGTTTTATACATTTAGTATTGGTACCAATGCGCAAAATTATGACGTCATCGATGACGTGTACGTCTTGACAGCCTTGTTGACAGAACTGTGAACCAAGTGATGATGATTAAAATAAAACCTTTTGGCGCGTAATGCGATAATCAAGTACTTTACTTCTTGGGTTTGTCCAAGAGCAAACGTTCGCTAAAAACATTTTTATTAATTTGGACAATCTTTACGTAAAGAAAAGCTTTGCAATGCAGTTAACATTACGAAAACAGTTACTCAGCTTAAAATTACAACCTAGTGTTATTCTCCTACATTTTCAAAAATTTGAAGAAATTATTTGTGAATTATTGTCAGCAGGTGCTAGGCTTGAAGAAATGGACAAAAATACGAAGACAGGCTGCATTAATATGACAACTGGTCAAAAGCGACAAACAAGGGACGTACTTTATGCACCAGATGTTCCCTACAAACTTCGCCCTGTGGGAAAAATGCAGTCAAGTGGATTTGAAGTAATTTTCAAATCTTCAGGCATGGTTATCAAATCAAATCAATTTGATTTATTGCTTCATCATATGAATGTAAAAACAGCATTTTTGAATAAATTTAAACGTTGACCATTGTTTTTATATTTTAGATAAATCAGATATAAGGCAAAAAAATCATAAAGTCCTTTATGTTAATGATTTAATAATTGCCACTTACGATGATAAAACATTATTAAGTTTTAAAAGATATTTTATGGCCTGCTTTCAATGGTAGACTTAAATAAAGGTATAAGGGTAAACAAATTTAAAAATAAAATAACCCTTTATCGAACAGTTTTTATAAAGTTTTATCTAAATTTAATATGTCAGACTGTAAACCTGTAGTAACACCTTTACCTACTTACAAAATTAGATTTTACTGCATTAAGTTCAGAAAAAGATTTTATGTATGACATGTTGTATACTATACCAGATTTATGTGTAGCAGTAAATGAGTTAAGTCGATATTATTCAAAAATAATCCAGAAGTCTGGAAGTGTCTAAAACGAATTTTGCGATATATATGCTGGATTTATGCAGAACACATTAACATTAAGTTAACATTAAGCCAATTTAAGGTTTAGGTATGCAACAAAATTAGTGGCAAATTAAGCATGCGTATAAGTTAAAGTAATTTTGACATATGACATTTTTGGTTTGTTTTAACCTCGTTTTAGCATCTGTTAGGAAAAAATGAATGAAAACTATAAACTGCACATCAATTTGAGTGGCGGCTGGTGGATTTTGGGCACACCCCATTTGTCGATAAACTTCAGTGGATTAAATATTGTACCACTTTAATTTGAATTTTTTTAATTTGGGAGGGGGGCAGGAGGCTGGGGGGCACACATAAAAACTAACTTTTTTTTCGAAAACTTCAATACAAATTCTGCTTGCGCAGAACTTGTCTATATAATGTCATTATAAACTCATATCAATTTGATGTGTCTAATAACTGAGAGAGGAATACAAATTAACATTATCATTAAGAAGATAAAAGTTGGCCATCTCTTATTGTTAACTTAATGTTAATGTGTTGCATAAAAGCTTCCAATGGATTACGTTCATTTAACTTCTTAATGATAATGTAAATCTTAATGTTAATGTTTAGTTAATGTTAATTTTTGCTGCATAAATCCAGAAATAAAAGGCACAATGAATCTTACATTAACCTATTATTTTAAGTGGATATGCCAAAGTAGATTGGGCTGGCAGTCAAGATGATCGAAAAAGTACCATAAGCTGGAATAGCCGTAAAAAATTCAGTTCACAGTAAAAAAATATTTTAGTGTTGTCCCAGGTAAAAGTTCTAATTCTTAACTTTATTATGGCAATAGAATAATAACACTAAAAAGCTTAATAGGCTTTTCTGTGTAGGCCGCCTAAATATTAAAAATAAATTTATCGTTATTGTTTTTACATACATCAATCTTTCCTTCGGAGGCCAAGAGGCTCTTAGATTATATGTGAGTTTCTAAATTCATTAATTCAATACAATCGTGTAGAGCGTAACTTGTGTTATACGAGCCCTAACCACAAAATGTTCGGACACTTTATAATTTATACAGAAATATTTTTTGTGAATACTATCTCAAAATTATTAGAGGTTATGAAAAATTCAGCTCATTTTAGCATATACCCCTCGAAGCGATTTTTATTTTTAAAAAGTTTACCTTTTATTTTTAGCTTTTAAAAAAAGGCTAACTTTTAAACTTTTTTTTGTATGAGTAAAAAAAGTTATAAATGGGCCCATTAAAAAGAGCATAAAATATTATACAAACCCTGAAAATTTGGTAAAAAATAAATAAGTTATAAAAAAGTATAAGTAATTTAAAAATGCTATTTTTAAAGAGTTTTTGAAATTTTCTTAGGAAACGGGAGATTTTGCAGATATATATATCGTTATAACTTTCTTATTATTTATACAATTTTTACCAAATTTTCAGGGTTTGTATAATATTTTATGTTCTTTTTAATGGGCCCATTTATAACTTTTTTTACTCATACAAAAAAAAGTTAAAAAGTTAGCCTTTTTTTAAAAGCTAAAAATAAAAGGTAAACTTTTTAAAAATAAAAATCGCTTCGAGGGGTATATGCCAAAATAAGCTGAATTTTTCATAACTTCTAATAATTTTGAGATAGTATTCACGAAAAATATTTCTGTATAAATTATGAAGTGTCCGAACATTTTGTGGTTAGGGCTCGTACTTTAATTAAATGCCCAAATACCTTTTCTAATATTTCATCAAATGATTTTATTGAACTGGAGTGATAAACAATACATACCTGGTTTAAATGTAGACCAATCATCTTTTTTAATGTGGATGTCTTCAAATTCGATTTTTCCCATGGCAAACATCCAACGGATTGGTTCACCCAAGCCGGGAATATCGAAATACGTGAGTTTGTAAGTCATATCTGAAAAAAAAATAGTTAATTTAAATATGTTTATATTAGAATAATCTTCTGCATGGTTGGTCGTAGGATAAATTACGTTATGGAGACTGCAAGCGTCAAAATAGTATTTCAAAATTAAATAACCTTATTTTTATTCGGTACCCAGATAGCACAAAGAAGTACTAGAAACGTCCTGAGTATATCCTGTATCAGACATTAGTAAGTCCCGAGTACGTCCGAATCAGATCCTGAACCTTTCCCAGGACGTACCAGGGACATCCGATGTTACCAAATCGTCGGTCGCCAGAACGTCCTAAGTAAGATATCCTCTGGTCGTCCTGAAATGCTTTATTGGGGACTATTGGACAAGCTTTACAGAATTGAAGAGTGATATTCCCAAAGGGTTTAAGTGACAAAAATAAAATTGAGAGTTATCAATGAAAAACATATATTTTGCACATACCTATAAATGTTGTAATATTTTTTAAGTCATTCTGCATGACACAAACTATTTTTAAATAATAATATATTTTGCTTCAATTACTAAAAAAAAAAATTACGTCCTTGGGAAGTACCGAGTATATCCGCTTTAATTTTCCCAAATACTGGGCGTACCCAAAACTTCCGATATAGGTCTGGGACGTTCGGACCTATGTGGGACCCGAAATGGACGTCCTGGGTACCTCTTGTGCTATCTGTTTTTTTCCTTCTGGGAATGTTAATAGATCTACATGGGGCAATTGGTTGTAAAATATATAAAAGAAAACCACTGTTTAATATATCTCCAGATTAAGATTCCCTCTTTATTATTTATTATTAAATATATGTTTTTAATTGTTTTAAAAGAGTTTGCTACTTTAAAAAAAAATTAAATTTCATCTTATTAGGTTTTGATTAAAAATCGCAAAGCGTCCGACGGAGTTCTACTGATACTGCGGGCAGGGCCCGCAGTAGGGGTATTAGTAGATTTTCATCCCATTCCAATTTTCAAAAAATTTTACTGAATTTGTATACAATCGCGAATCAAAAATGTATGTAATATTTTTTCTATTAATTTATATTTCGGAAACTAATAGTTCAGTATTTTTCAATAAAGATTGTTACATGTTATTTTAAATAATATATTTATTGTTAAATATCGAAAATATGTTTTAAATTATGATTTTTTTATATAACAAACAATTTTTATTTTTGCATTTCTCAATTTTATTCGAAAATAGAATGCTTAAGAACATTTGTTACTAAACTTTTGGTGGCTTGTGTATATGTTATAAAATTGTAAATATTATCATGAGCGCCCATACAACATATTTTTTTAAACAAAATTTGTCAATTTACAAAATGTAAAGTGCAGTTTTGCAAACAATTTTTGTTCGATAATTATAATTACATTTACAAAATTTACTTGTTTTTATTATATTAAAATTTTAATGCACTTAAATAAAAATTGTCAAAATGACACTTAAATCAACAGCGCGTCATTAGTAGTTTTGTTTTTTCAGTAGTAGTTAATTAATAGGGCTGTATAATTTAGCCGGTTAAGCCGGCTAAAAAAGTTAGCTTAGCTAATTAGCTGGCGGCTTAACCGTTTAATTTAGCTTAGCTCAGCTAATTAGCTAACGGCTAACCGGCTAAACAGCTAATTAGCTGAGCTAATCTAGATTAACCGGTTAAGCCGCCAGTTAATTAGCTAAGCTGATCAGTTAACCGGCTAAATTAATGTTTAATCATTTTTTAATTATTTAAACAAAATCTTGTTTGTCATTTATTGTGACAAGAATGTTTTGTATTTTTTTAACATTTTGTTAAACAGAGTTATTGTATTCTTGTTTTAAAGCTAGTATAAGTACATTTTAATTTTAATTCAATTGCGTTAAAATTTTAACAAAATTAATGTTAGCAACAGTAGTGCGGAATTCGCCAAATTTGAGGATAAAAGTTTTTGGAGTTCCTAGGCGTATAAGTAATAAGGGAAAGTCATTTATAAAGGGAATCAAACATTATTTAAACCCAGTCGCAGTACCACGTGCGAATGGTCAAGTCGAATTTTTTTTCCACTTTTTTATGATTTGATCTATTTTTTTTTAATTAAAACTGGTCGGGGCTCAGATTAAAAATTAATTAAAAAATCTGAATTTTTGGGAGTACCTTATAGTAAGAATAGTAATAATAATATAGTAAGATAGAATAGTAATATAGTAAGATAGTAAGAAAGTAAGAAAAACCCCTTTTCAATTTTTGAAAGTATCTTTAGGATAGTAAAAAAGTAAGAAAACATCACGTTTGAATTTTTTTTCCCACTTTTTTAGGATTTGTTCTATTTTTGTATTAAAAGAGGTCGGTGCTCAGTTTAAAAATTAATTTAAAAATCTGAATTTTTGGGAGTACCTTATAAAGGGTGGGCCATTTATTGGTTTGTTTTTAAAATCGCTATAAAATGAGTCTAAATCAATATTTTAAGAACATTTTTTTTTATTGTGAACGTTGGAGTCTCCGATTTAAGAATGATAAATAATTTCGTTCATGTGACTTTCTCTGCTGGCCCTACAGTAAGCCATCCTGCGTGTCCAATTTTGAAGCACTTTTTCCATGATTTCGCCGCCTATATCACCAATAACAGTTTTAATGTTATGTTTTAAAGCTGGAATTGTCTCTGGATTGTCCGCATAACATCGGCCCTTAACGAACCCCCACAGAAAAAATCTAACGGCATGAAATCACAACTCCGGACAGTCCAATTGACATCTCCAAAACGGCTGATTTATCGGTTTGTTAAATTTGGTGCGCAAGAGATCGATTGTCAGTCGGCTTGTATGGCATGTGGCCCCATCTTGTTGAAACCAAAGATCGCCTACATTCATGGCGTCGATTTGAGGCCATAAACAGTTGGTCAACATAGCTCTGTAACGGTCGTTATTGACGGTAACGGCGTTTCCAGCAGTATTTTCGAAGAAAAATGGGCCAATTATGCCACCACTCCAAAATCCACACCAAACTGTCACTCTTGGTGGCTTCATTGGCCTCTCTACGATTACGTGTGGCTGTTCCGTGCCCCAAATCCGCAGTTCTGCTTGTTTACATAGCCGAAAAAATGATTTTTCGACCAAAATTGACGTCATTGTTGAACTGGTATGTGGCCCACACAGCGAACTGATATCGAAGCAGATGGTCATTTGCTTTCAACTACTGGGTCATCTGGACCTTGTAGGCGAATAATCCTAGGTATTTGTGCAATAGTCTCCTCAGGCTGGTGCAACTAATGGCCAGTTGCTGCGATCGGCGTCGAGTTTAGAACGATGGATTTTGTACCACACTACGGGATATAGCCTCAATATTCTCAGGCGTACACACTGTCAGAGCTCGGGGACCTTTTCTATTATCTAATAGCAAGCCTGTCTCACGAACTTTCTTCACCAATTTCACTACAGCAGTTCCGTTTGTCGCTCTTTCTCGACCCATAATTCTTTTCAAAATTCGCACGGTTTCGGCCACACAACACTGACTTTGAAAATAAATTTTCAATATTTCGAAACGCTCCTCAAGCGAAAACATAATTGTTTCGTGCCGCGGAATGTCAGAATGACAAGCTGTCAAAATTTCAAACAAATCGGTGCATCGAGTGTTTTAAAAACAAACCAAATGATGGCCCACCCTTTATTAAGGATAGTACACTTTTTAGGATTTGTTCTAATTTTTGTATTAAAAGTGGTCGTGGCTCAGGTTATAAATAAATTTAAAAATCTGTATTTTTAGGTACCTTCAGGAGAATTTTTTATTATTAACGTTATCAGCACATCTTTTTTTTAAATTATAAATATTAAATAAAATAAATTTTGTTTATTTTTTGGAAGGGCGAGGAGGGGTTATGTTCTGGTTTTTCATTTTAGAAAGTTGGTCACCTTAAATTAGTTGCAGCTTTCGTAATTATTATATTACATTAATTTTATAATTAAGGGGTCTAGAAGTAAAAGGGTTTAAGTGCATTTTTGTTAGTTCTGAGATAAATGGCTTTAAAGTTAACTTGAATTTTAAAATTCTAGAAAAGAGTTTAAAATACTGTGTGAATATTTTAGTTTTGTTTAAAGACAAAAAAGGATTATAAAGAAAAAGGAATTTTTTAATTTCGCTTTTTTGTTAATTTTTTTTACAAAAATGTACTTGAATCGTCATGCATGTAAGACAAAATTTAGTGGTAAAATGATTTAAATGCAATTACTGTACTAGAACAAAACTTTATTTTTTAAAATTTGAGTAAGTTTTATAACAAAAAGTATTATTCATAATCAGAATCTAATACAACGTTTTCTTCATCTGAATTAGCTGGTCTTGGTTGGGGTTGATCTAAATTGGGTTTTTTTTGCTCAATGCTATGGTCTGTTTTAAAATACTTGTCAAGGCTTTAGCAGCATAGATAATAGCCTATGTTTAGCAAAAAGGTGCACTTAAATCGTTTTACCAAAGATATATATTAAATATTTTGACAGGTTTTTAAAGACGATAAGAAATGGCGCCAGGAAATGTAAAATGTACTTATATAATTTTACCACTAAGTTAAAATATTCTTTAGGTGTGATATTCTGCACTTGGACCATTTATTTAAAAAAGTGCACTTGAACCGTTTTACTTCCAAGCCCCTCAATTTACATTTAAATTAAGTGAGGTTAACCTCTTGACAGATGTCAGATTTTATTTATTTATTTTTTTAAATCATTTAATTGTTAACTTATTGGAGTAGATTAGTATTATAGTATTAGTATTATAGTAGTATAGTATTACACTCAAGATTATGCGCATGATTCACTTTCATCTCTCATTTAGCGACTCGAGACGCAAACCTCATCCTCTTTAATAATAGCCTGCATTTTCTCTCGTATAATAATATATTAATAAATCTCAATATTACTTAATGGTTACCAACTTGTTTTTTTCTTTATTTATTTATTTGTAAGAGATTTATGCATTAAAAGAGTATAGGTTTACTCCCGAATAAAATTAAGATATTGGCCAAAATAAAAATTGTTTAAAAAAAAGTTTATAATATAAAAAACTAACAATTTAAAATAATTGTTCGAACTTAATTTTTAAACGAAAATAATATAAATTAATACAAAACATTAAAAAAATTTATTCTAATTAAGTGACAATATAATTCATTAATATTAGAACCAATAAAATGCCAGTATTCCATAGTGACGTATTTTATCACAGCGGCAATAATTTTTATCATCTTGTTTACACGTTACTATGAATTTTGACGTTTTTTTGATTTGACATTTGTTGTCATTTAAATTCTGTATTTGATATATATCAATAAAATAATGAATTATAAACTCTAAAAGATCGATGGGTTGGTGTAAACGATAATGAAATTAAGGTAAGTTTGAATAAATAAGGTTTATTAAAGTCTTTTTATATTTTAAAGCACATTTTAATTTCAAATGTCAAACTAAAAATTCGTTAAATCCTAAAATTCAATATATTTTCTCACTAAATATAACTCGTGGTATGATTAATTATCGATGATATTTACTCATTAAAACCGAAGCAGCACATTTCACTCGTCCTGCGGACTCGTGAAATCTGCAGCTCGGTTTCAATTCGAAAATATCATCGATGATAATCATACCACTTGTTATATTATGGGTGATAATAAAAAATAGGGTTGAAAATCTACTTATACCGCCAAAAAATCTAGTTTTTTTCAAAGTTAATTATAAAACTTTTTTTAGGTAGCCCGGTTTTACTCGTTTATTATAAAAAATTTTAATTCAATTAACTACAGGTACAGGTATTTACCATATTCAGGGTCATTGTAATTATTCACAGTTCCATAGAGTAGTACTTTAATAATTTATTATTACTAACGCTGGTAAAAATAATGACATCATTTGTTAATTTAGATAAACTATGTATGCTACTTATATTAAGTGTTTTATTACGAAACTATCAAAAAAGAAAAATAAATCATATTAGGTACATATCAGCAAACAAATCTAAAAATGTCACTTAACTTTACACTTACACTTTTACACTTAAGTTTCTTAGTAAATACGTACAAAAATACTTCAAATGTTCTTTTAAATTATTTTTTTTATCTTTTAGTAATTTGTTAGAAATACAGTTTATACCATTATTTTATTTTTAAGTTTATTGAACTCATTATAATGTTTTTAAATTAAAATATTAGGTATCCAAATTACCGGCAAATAACTATATGTTCTCTGATTATTTTATTCGATATATGTATAAGGGAGCGTTCAAGTATTACGTAACGCAATTTTTGGAGATTTTTAATAAAAAAGAAGCAGTTGAATCTACAAACTGGATTCTGTAAACAATTTTGTAGATAATTTAATGCTTAAAAAGGACCAGTAATGTTTTATAAAAAAAAAAGTTCCACATAGCATGTAGGCGAAATAAATCTTAAAAAAACTATTTTTTCATGTTCAATCAATGGGAAAGTTTATATTTAATATAAAAAAAATCCTCACCAAATATGGGCGTTCCAGCTCAACTCTAAGAGGTCGCTGTTTTTATTTTAGTTTCCCATTTAATTTAAATTTTATGTTTGGAATTTTATACCTCTGTATCAAAGTAACTTATGGCAATGATCATTGTAGTTTCTTATATAAAATGTAACGCTTTACAAAAAAGGTCTCTTATTATTTTTCGATAAATTGATTTCTTCTAGAGTTATTCGAGGTCAAAGTTTGATTAACATAAAATTTTCTGGTTTTTTTAATTTTATGGAACAATTAGCAGACGGGAGGTGAAAGGGGGCAAAACAATGCAGCGGGGGGCAAAATGGGGTACCCACAAAATTTCGTTTTAGATTGTTTTTTTCAGTTTCTAAATTATTTGAAAATTGACTCACAAGTTCACGCTTCGAAAATAATTATTCTGAGCCTGTAGAGCGAGAAAAAGGATGGTACAATTTTGGAAAACTTTTCATAAGCTCATTTTTTGGGTACCCCATTTTGCCCCTCCCCGCTGCCTTGTTTGCCCCCTCTCACCTCCTGACTGCTACCATAAAATTAAAAAAAAACAGAAAATTTTATGTTATCAAACTTTGACCTCGAATAACTCTAGAAGAAATCAATTTATCGAAAAATAATAAGAGAGCTTTTTTGTAGAGCGGAAAACGTGTAAAAATTGTAGAATGTGATTTTTTTTCACCCAACTTTCATTCTAATACAAAAGAAAGTGCATTTAATTTTTTAATTTTTTACTTAAATTACAAAAACAATGGGAAAAAAACTTTTTTAACTTTGACTTCCAATTGGCCTTTAAGGGGACACCCTATAAATTTTAGAACAAAAAAAAGAATTTCCCGTTGGAACTACCCCATTTGAAAAAATATTTATTTAAAAAACGAGTGGGCCACCTCAAGAAAAATTTTTTTTTTTAATTTTTCTTTTTTTATAAGCTACAAATTCTACCCCCATGATAAGAAAAAAAAACATTTTGTTTTCAACCCACCCTAATAAATATGCCATTATAAAATCTAAAATATATCATCATTGTGTGTGTTTATTATTGTTAAATGCTTTTTTAAACAATTTATAAACAATTCATTAAAAAAGTATTTATTATACTTTCCAAGTAGAGGCAAAAATATAGTATTTTTTTTTAAACGGCAATGCCACGCAAAAGAGTTAAAGAGGCAAAATGCACAACCATATAGGATTTCTTCTTGAGAGGTTTATCTTACATTTTTTTGTTTTTTTACCGGCATGAGAACAAAATTTTAAAAGTGGATAAAAAGTTTCAAATTTGTCCTAGAATTACTTTAAAACTGTAACATTTATTCCTTTTTTGAATAGAGAACAAAATCGTTTCTAAACTCTGGGTCAGCAAACCCTTTGGGTTGAAAAAATGAAATCTTTGTATCTTTAGCAACTTACTATTTTTTGTCTCTTTAGTAGGCCGTGACACAAAAAAAAGAATCCTATAGACAGTGTGGATATACACATTAACAAAATTATATATTTTTTTGATATGTAAGAAATTAATCAAATAACAATTATATTAATTATCTCTGATATCCTTTATATGACTGGAGTAAATATTAATAATAAAAAAGGAATTTACGAGACAATATTTCTGAAATACTTGGCAAAAGTATACGTATTTAGGCGTGAATACATCCGCAAAATTAAAAAAAGTCTACTTACTATTTTGTAAGATTCTAACTCGTTGGTATTTAACGTAGCAATTGTATACAATGACTGAACATAAATTTGATATCTCATAGGTTTATAAATAAATCATATATGGCCTTGAAACTATACAAAACTAAACAAATTTATAATGTAGATGCGCGTACTATGCCTTCCATCTAAATTGGCGCTGTGGTGGGGGATCACATATAGATTATGTACGGTATGACATTCCTTTGATCGCCGCCCAACTTCATAATGTTTTTTGGAAAGAAACTGAAAAAATCAGATTTTTTTAAATTAAATTAAATTATGAACAAAAATACCAAATAAACAATAAATAAAAAAAAACTTTTATTTAAAATATTAAAATATAATAGTACAAATAATTAAAAAGGAATAAAACTTTTCTATTGAAACAAAAAATAAAACTCTTCTATTAAAATATTTAATTATTAGAAAGAAAATAAATAAGACCTGGCAAATTTGATTTTTTAGGTTAGTTACTAAAGCTGATGTTATTTAGTTGGTATGTGGGCGGAACCTCGCTTGTAAAACTAAAGAAGTGGGGTTTGCTACCAAAACATAGTGCACAGTAAAAAACCTTCACACTAGGCTTCACTAGAGAACACTAGTTAATAACTAGTGTTAATAACTAGTAGTTATAGCATGAGGTCTAGTGTAGTGTGAATTTTAGTGTTGTTTTAACTCTAGGGGTTGTACTCTAGTAGCAGGGCCGTCTCTAAGGTTTTGGCCGCTCCGGGCAAACTTAAAACGGCCGCCCTCTCGAAATACACCGCCATAAAAAATACACTACAAATATTTGGAAACATTTAATAAAAAGTAATAATAAAAATTATAGTAAACTTAAAAACTCAACATAACAAAAAAATATATTAAATATAACAAATTTTGTCTATAAATAAAATATTTTATTTTACATATCGCTACCTTGGTTTAATATGGTTCTATCTGCCATTATCTCAAAAATGTAATTTTTGAATAAAAAGGTTCTATTTAAAATATAGAAATCTTTTTATGCAAAAATTACATTTTTAAGAAAATGGCTGATAGATCCATGTTATACCAAGGTAGCTATATATAATTACATAGGTACATAAATAGCTAATATAGCTAACAACAAACTTAAAAAAAAAAATTATTTAATAATTAAGCAATAGTAAAAAATACAAATTTGGAAAAAACCCAATATAACTTGTTTATAATATATACACCAGTGGAAAAAATTAAAGGATCAAAAATTTATTCTCTAATTTATGGGCCTTAAGACGAAAAATTTTTCCAAGCAACAAGTATCGCGCAATCCTAATGAATATCGTGAAGAAAAATTTTTAATTTTTTTTGTTTTTTATTTTCTGTGTAAGGACTTGCATTATTTTTTTTAACTAAACCACCATATGGATCGGATAGGTTGTTTATTCAGCTTTAATTTGTTTTTTGTAGGCCTTGACACAACCATTTCTCGCTGAGCTATCGGTTAATTTTATAGACGATTTCAGAAAAAAAATATATAATCATCGAAAATTGTGTTTTTGGGTTTGTCCGACTCCCAAGTAACAGGAAACATGAAAATTAAAATCCTTCATGTAGGGCATTTTAGATAGTGGCCCAAAAATATGTCAAAAGTTTGTAATTTTTTCTAAACACTAAAAATATTAAATTAAAAAAAACTTTTTTTAAGGATAATCTCGAGGATAATATATAGAGCGTTTAATTTTAAGTTAAAAGCGTCTAAAAAAGTTTTTTGTAGATCCTATAGTTTTGTTCTAAAAAAATCTTACTTACACTCACAGGCAAAATAATCGATCCACACAAATTTTCGATGAATTTCAATCGCAAATAACTTTTTTATTTGATTTCGGATTTAAACGAATATTAAACAATATTGTGGATAAATTAATGGAGAATCGCTTACATTTTAAAAAATTACTAAAAATAGACGAACGTTTATAATATACAGGTTTAAACAAAAAGATGTTTTTTACCATAAGTTTAAGACACTCTGTAAAGTGGCAAAATAACATTGCATTTTCCAATATTTTTTTGTTCGAAGAACTAAGATTGCTATGGTCCACCCATAGCCTATGGAGGATGACAGTGATTGTTTTGTTGAATCATCCCATACTTGGACATATTTTTGTAAATTAATGTGTTACTTTTGAGGTGTTTTCTTACTTTTAAAAATGGATATGTCTCCGACTGATGTTTCCAGAGCCATTGCTTTAATCCAGGATGGATGGTCTCAGTATTACCTGGATTGTACTTGGTTTTTGGTCAGTTCAATGTCCCTCAAAAACCAAAATATTTTCCATCCTTTTCCGCACTCCACTAGCGGACTAGGCGAACAAATTCTTTAAGAGGCCTTAACCATCGACACTGTCATTTACGGCCTTCTAGCGAGATTTACCAGCCGGGGTAAAAATTCGGCTCCACCAAACACAGGCAATGCTGTGCAGTGGCGGGATACGTGGGAGAACTAAAAGGGGGTAAAATAACCCTGGGAAATCAGTATAAGGCGTTGGCGATGGGGCCAGTCATACGTTCGTCATATTCGTATTCAACAATAAAATAATAAAAAACTTATGACACTGTTGTCGCCCATGTGCGATATATATATTCGTCTTTAATGTATTTAAGTTTATACATATGGTTTTTGGAAACAAATACCTCAATTTGTTTAAGTATTTTGACGAAGTAGTTTCCAGTTGCTTTGGGAACTCTCTAAGTATAAGTTATGCCGAAAATATTCAACGTTTCGCAGTAGAACTATCTAAAGTCGGAGTACGGTACACAACAAAAATGCATGCCCTATAGTTCATCATGTTCCAGAGTTCATTGAAAAATATCAACGAGCACTTGCCTTTTTTCTGAACAAGCGTCAGAATAAGTGGATCACTATTTTAACGTTTTCAAAAAATTTTAATTTAAATTCAAGGAATTTGCAATTTTTTAAAGAAAAACTGTTAAGGAGTATTTGTTATTATAATAGCCAGCACATATAATTACATGTATTTATTTGGACATTAAAACCTATTAAGTTAATTGAATATGATTAATATGTATTATTTTGTGAAGTAAAAAAAATCAGAATTTTTTTATAACAAAACTATAGCGTCTACAGAAAACTTTATAAGACGTTTTTTACTTAAAATTAAACGCTTTATTATCCTTAAAGGAAGTTTTTTTTAAATTTAAAATTTTTAGTTTTTACAAAAAATTTAAAAACTTTGACATATTTTTGGGCCACTATATAGAATGCCATACATGAAGGATTTTATTTCTCATGTTTCCTGTTACTTGGAAGTCGGATAAACCCGAAAACAATAGTTTCGATGATTATATATTTTTTTTCTGAAATCGTCTATAAAATTAACCGTGGGCTTTAAATGAAAAAGGATCATTTGAATTTGAATTTAAATTGATATCTTTTTTTTTGCAATTTTGTAAAAAAAAATCATAACTTTAAATGCCGTTTGGTATAAAAATGTGAAAAAAGTGAAGATAAATTTTTTTATTAGAGATTATGAGCGTTTAAGAGTAAAAAAACACACTGTTCAAAATCAAGCCTTTTGAAATACCTAATCAGAATTAGTTAACCTTGTAGTAGTGGCGCCTTATATTTAACATTGGTGGTGGCGCCCGGCCTGTCAGGCCCGTAAATTTAAAAAAATCATATTTATGCTAGTATTTTTTCTTTGTGAATTTTTTACTTTTAATTTATTACTTAATCCTATTGTGACCAAGGTCACTGATTTTTTTTTTAAAAAAAACCTCATATGTTTGAAATATGGGGTTAATTTTATGGGGACAGGATTATAAGGTGACATAATATTATTTCTCAAAAAACTAAATAAAAAATGTATTCTACCAAAAAAACAACAAATGGTTTATAAGCTTGAATAACAAAATATCGTATTAAACGTGGTTTTGATTTTTTTCCACACAATTATGACACATAATTTTGGCATGGGTCATACATAGAAATTTTTGGCTATGAAGTGTGTGGTCCTTCTGTCTATGCGACATTCTGCACACCTTTTTCTGGTCCCAGGGGGAATTAGTTGAGGTTCAACATTATCGGTAGAAGTCCCAGCTACTTCTTGTCGCCTTTGACGTACCTCAGTTGGTAAATTTTGTTCCATAGAACGGCGTTTCAAATGCTTCTACTAGGACATAGCGCCGTTCTTCAAGAGCTTTCGCATTAATAATTTGAATTATTAGCAGTGTGTATTACTTGGGCATTTATTTCAGCCACATTCATTAGCCCATAAAATATGACCATATTGGATAGAATAAAGTATAAAAATATGCTAAATAATTAATATACCACAAAATAGTCGTATAACATAAATGGTGGCGCCCGGCCTTTCAGGCCGTTTTAGGTTATAACTTTTTAAGTTAGAACTGTAAGTAAATAAACATTGCACTACACCTTTCTACGCAAAAAGTTAGGAAGGTACTGAAAAATTCAGAGTTGTCTCTTAATTATTTTCATAATGATCCGCTAAATAAGATCGCTTGGGCCTGTTAGGCCGTGCGCCACCAGTAGAAGGTTAAGAAAAAATAAGGTAATATGCTTAAACGAGTAAAGCAATTTACCTTCTCGTTTATTAGGCAGAAACTAATGCCTTTGTTCTATGGTGTATTCACTAACTTCTAGATAAATATTCATACTTTACTTAATAAACTTCTCAAATTTAAAAAGATAGGCAGATTACCTAAATATTTAGTCAAAATCTCAATGACTTTTAGGTACGACAATTTTGCTTTTAATTTAGGTAATTCTTCTAAATTATTATGGCAAATTATTGAACTAATTTAGGTAAATTCCTTTAAATATTAGTGACTTACTTGCAATCGGCTACGATCGCTTATACCGACGTTTTATGATATATATTCGCGACTATATTGCCACCAGAATGCCAAAATCAACGAAAACGTAAAGACCGCGTTGTGTGCTATTGATATAACAACAGTTAACAAATATTGTGCTATAAGTGAACATTTTGAAGTGCTATAGCTAAGTAATCCAAACTAAATGGAATTTTCCATTGACCCCAATTTATTTTTAAATAATCCCAACCCTGTAGTACCGGAACCGCCGTTGTTAATTCGCCTAGGACATAAAGATAAAGGAGTCCTAACTTGGA